ACAGATGCTAGCATACAAACAGAAGAGTTGACATCCTTGCTAAGCGTAGAGACAACACCCCTTGTGTCTTCTGTTTGTATGCTAGCATCATCATTGCTGGCTGCAAAGAAACATGGGAATTGTAGCGTTTACAAAGCATGTGAGGAAAGGCAGCACCAATGCATGCACAGAGTCCCCGAAATAGTTGAAAGTACTGTTAGAATATAGGCAGCGATCACAACATAAAAGGCATTTATTATAGTAGGGAAGCATTTTTTGTAATAGTTACCTAATGCCGGGAGAGGAAAAATGGTGCTGATATCATACTGGCAAAGGATAAAAAATAACTTTAGACCTGCTTTAAGAGAAAGTGAAACTTTTTCAAAGCACATAACCTTTTCTTCATATTTATTCCCCTCTGAAAGGCATGCTCTGAGCATAATAGTTTGTTAGACATGTCTGATGTCTCTGCTACCTGAGCTGAATTTCCATGGGCTCCATGCCAAAGCTGAACTCCATGGACAATAGCTATGAAAGTCAATAATGTGACTTTGTCATGCTAATCTGTCTGAGAAAAAAATAGCCTTCTGACCAAGCAAAAGCTTGCATGTTCCTTGACTTAGGTCCTCTGATACTATTGAAGCTGACAGATGGGCATGCCCTTCAAGAACAGAGGCCACCAAAAAGATCCCTCATTTAACATTCTTCAAAGCTAGCAGTTATGAAGGCCTGTCACGGTTAAGGAATGCCTTTGTGCGAAATCATTTCATGGTGGAAAAGGCAATGAAAACAAAGATGAACAAAGGTGATCTGTTATAAGCGTAACCATATCACTAACACCTGCAGTGCATAGATTCTTAGTCACAAAGAAATTAAAAAAATATACACAATTAACAAATAAAATAAGCAGAAAGCTAAAAAAACTCAACATTGCAAATAAATTTTATTATTTTCCTTTACAATAGTTGTTTTTTAAGACTCTATCAGTATCTACTGTATGTGTTAGAAACAGTCAACAGATTAATTGTGGGTTAACTACAAGAAGCAACCTTTGCTTGATGCTTGATATCAGATACCAGCTTGCAGCAGCTTAAGCTGGTCATAATTGGTTCGTTTCTCGTCCGGTGCAGCAGGGACTGGCTGATATTTGAACCATCTATGGACAGGCTGATTGTACTCAAATCAATCCATCCATTGACTTGGGTACAACCAGCATGTCGGATTTCTAGCATGTACTCAAGTCGACCCACCCATTGACTTAGGTACAACTAGCATGTTGGATTTCTAGCATGTACTCAAGTCGACCCACCCATTGACTTGGGTACAACTAGCATGTCGGATTTCTAGCATGTACTCAAGTCGACCCACCCATTGACTTGGGTACAACTAGCATGTCCGATTTTTAGCATGTACTCAAGTCGACCCACCCATTGACTTGGGCACAACTAGCATGTCGGATTTCTAGCATGCGATTATTACCAGCGGCCATTACCATTACCAATATTCATTGTGTTCTTCCTGCAGGGAAGACTTCTCATGTCCCCCCCGCTGGGAGAACACAAAGGAGGGATTCCGCCTTCAACACTGATTGTGTTGATGGGGGAATCGAGTGATTTTCATTTCTGCAAACCATGGTTGCAGGAAAGAACACGCATCATCTATGGCCTGCCTCACAGGATTTATAAAGGTTAAGCGAGAAATGTTGCTATTTTTGTTTTTATGAGGCTAGATTAACAAAAAATATTTGGAATCATGGTTGTTACAGATTACTGCACACTATTGCTTTTCACTGTGCTGTTAGTCCTTATCTTATATTGACTAAAATGCATATTTGCTGTAAGTCTGAAGCATACACTTGATGATGGAAAAACACAAACATGGCATCTTACATTACTCTCTTTTTTTTTACATGACTTAAAAAATAAATGGTTGCAGCCATTGTTGTATATTTGCAAACTACCAAGTGTTTTAAGTAAATTCTTAAGTAAACGTGTTGTGAACTATATGATAACGTGCATGCTGCGTACTTGTCAGTGGGGAAAGGTCTAGGGCAGGGGTGCTCAACCCATGGCCTGTGGAGCCCTCTGATGTGGCCTGCGACCTCAAACCAGGGAAGCACATGCCCATGCTCTGGGTCGGCAAGCCTAGATTACGATCAACGAGTTGCTGACCCATCATCCCACAGTATCACAATACATGGAGCCAGAGTCGGCAGTGGAGGAAGCAGGAGACTATAGAGGGAGCAGGAGCTGTATAAGCCAATGCTTCTTCTGTAGCTCTGGCTCCTGTCCCAGGTAGAGTGATACCAAGTGCACTTTGCCTGGGACCTTTCAAGCAGCCTGGAGATTGATGCCAGCAGAAACTGGAAGAGGAAAAGTAGGTCAGTGTAATAAACATCACATATATCACATACACTGCACTTTGCAATGAGCATATTAGCACCTATAAAAGTCTTATTAGGCTGCTTTCAAACTGATCCGCAGGTGCAGAGCAGTGCACCTGCGACTTTCCTGTGGTTTAGCTGCACTGAGCCATAGACTTCTATTATATCCTGCAAGTTTGGTGTGCTTTCAGGAGTTTTGGTGCACTTTCAGAAAGTGCACCACACCAGCAACATGTAATAGAAGTCTATGGCTCAGTACAGCTAGCCCACAGGACATCTGCAGGCAACCTGCAGCACATCAGTGCGAAAGCAGCCTTATAGGGGCTCAGGACAGTAAGGGCTTATTTAAATTTGTAGTTTAGGAGGCGGTAAAACCCCATATTTCATTGTGTCCAGCACATACCAAATCACTTAAGTGGTCCTCATTCTTCAAAAGGTTGAGCACACCCTGGTCTATGGCCTAAATATAATAATATAAGATATAATAGAACATAACTTGCTCATCAGTTTGTCACGGCAGACCTTTCAGGTTCATTAAACTGACCCCAGCTTCCTAAGAACTCATCCTTCCTCAGAACTAAATCCACCAATTTAACAGTTTCCAATAACAGTTACATTACAGGCATGCCAGGAATGCTGTCACATTTGCTTGTCCTCTTAACCAAACTGTCAAACCATCAAATGGTTGGTGTCATAACTGATCACATGTGCAGCATCATGGCAGTTGCAGATCAAACAGAGGCCAAAATGGTACCTTCCTTGGCTGAAAAGGATAGGAGGGTTTAGTTCGGCTTTAACATAATTTTTTACATGTCTCAATACAATTGAATAAATGTTTCAAAATAATGACTTACATAGCATATTTAATTTATTTATCTGTACACTGCCACCTTACATAGTTACATAGTAAGTCTGGCTGAAAAAAGAGAAAGGTCCATCCAGTACAACCATTAAAAAAAAAAAAAAGTTATAATCCTGTACCCACAGTTGATACAGAGGAAGGCAAAAAACCCAGCAAAGCATGATACAATTTGTTCCTGCAAGGAAACAAAATTCCTTCCTGATCCCCCAAGAGACAATCGGATATTCCCTGCATCAACTTTACCTATAAATGTTAGTATCCAGTTATATTCTGTGTATCTAAGAAAGAATCCAGGCCTTTTTTGAAGCAATCCACTGAGCTGGCCAGAACCAACTCTTGAAGGAGTCTTTTCCACATTTTCACAGCTCTTACTGTGAAGAAACCTTTCCCTAAAATGTCACACTGTAATTCAGGAGAAATAACAATCCTCTCTATCTGGTAGTTGTTATTTTTCTTGTCATGGACCCAAAATGAACACATGGGCGGTGTAATGGCCGGTGGGTTGAACTACAGTACGCAGCAGGTGACCAGATATCCAACATACCCGGAGGGATGTCAGCTACAGAAGATTCTTTGGGGACCACAGATTCTTTGACCTCAGAAGATCATGGGCTCAAATCACATTTGCACTACATGTCGTGGGCACATATTTCATTCACTTCTCTTCTCAGTCAGAGTTATGTACAGATAAACTGGCTCTCCTCTGTCTCATATGTGGTGAAGGGTCACAATGTGTAAGGGCTGGTTCACACTAGATGCAGTTCAGTATGTTTTTAATTTGCATCAAAAATGCATGCACAGTGTTTATCATGTATTCAAATAGCCGTGCATTCCTCTGCAGTCAACAAAAAAAGAACATGAGAACATGCTGCAATTTCCTGTTTGGAACGCACCTGGAACACAGCAAAACACATCAAAAATGCACCAGGATGCATCGAAAACACATAAAAAACACAAAAGAACACACATGTCCTAAATTGACATGAATAAAAAAAAGGGGGAAACGCATCACAAACATGAATGCAGAAATGAATCTGGAACGCAGAAATTGTTTTGTGAACCGGCTCTAAAGACAGGAAACATCACATTGATAAAGGTAATTACTCATTTTAGGGATTAGGTTAGATTTTAGGGCTTTGTGAGGGTAGGGTTAACTGTCAGGGTAAGATTACATGTCATACTTTACTTTATATTTGTTTTCAGAGCAACCAGTGCAAGGCTCATAGTATCATAAACAAACTTTCCTAAACTTTGATGTGAGGCACATGTACCAACTATTGTAGTTATCAGGTTTGCAAACTTAGGCTGCAAGTAGGGTAAGTACCATATTTTTCGATCCATAAGACGCACCTAGGTTTTAGAGCAGGAAAACAAGAAAAAAAATATTCTGAACCAATGGACTGCAGACACAGTACAGGAGATGACCAGAGACTGCGGACACAGTACAGGAGATGACCAGAGACTACGGACACAATACAGGAGATGACCAGAGACTGCGGACACAGTACAGGAGATGACCAGAGACTGCAGACACAGTACAGGAGATGACCAGAGACTGCAGACATAGTACAGGAGATGACCAGAGACTGCGGACATAGTACAGGAGATGACCAGAGACTGCGGACACAATACAGGAGATGACCAGAGACTGCAGACATAGTACAGGAGATGACCAGAGACTGCGGACATACTACAGATGACCAGAGACTGCGGACATAGTACAGGAGATGACCAGAGACTGTGGACATAGTACAGGAGATAACCAGAGACTACGGACATGTTACAGGAGATGACCAGGGACTGCAGACATAGCACAGGAGATGACCAGAGACTGCAGACATAGTACAGGAGATGACCAGAGACTGCGGACACAGTACAGGAGATGACCAGACACTGCAGACATAGTACAGGAGATGACCAGAGACTGCGGACACAGTACAGAGATGACCAGAGACTGCGGACCAGTACAGGAGATGACCAGAGACTGTGGACACAGTACAGGAGATGACCAGAGACTGCGGACACAGTACAGGAGATGACCAGAGACTGCTGACACAGTACAGGAGATGACCAGAGACTGCGGACACAGTACAGGAGATGACCAGAGACTGCGGACAGAGTAAAGGAGATGACCAGAGACTGCAGACACAGTACAGGAGATGACCAGAGACTGCGGACATAGTACAGGAGATGACCAGAGACTGTGGACATAGTACAGAGATGACCAAAGACTGCGGACATAGTACAGGAGATGACCAGAGACTGCGGACATAGTACAGGAGATGACCAGAGACTGCAGACATAGTACAGGAGATGACCAAAGACTGCGGACATAGTACAGGAGATGACCAGAGACTGCGGACATAGTACAGGAGATGACCAGAGACTGCGGACATAGTACAGAGATGACCAAGATTGCGGACATAGTACAGGAGATGACCAGAGACTGCGGACATAGTACAGGAGATGACCAGAGATTGTGGACATAGTACAGGAGATGACCAAAGACTGCAGACATAAAGCAGGAGATGACCAGAGATTGCGGACATAGTACAGGAGATGGCCAGAGACTGCAGACCTTTGGGGAGGGGGGGGGGTCGGGTACCCGAATTTGATAGGTACCCGCTTGTCCTCCCCCCTCCCTCCCTGTAGTCTTCTGGGACACTTGACAGGTCCCAGAAGACAACAGAGCCATTCACAAAGTGCAGCGCTTTTTGCGCATGCGCAGTGGGCACCCGGCCGTGAAGCCGTAAGCTGTCACAGCCGGGTGCCCACACTAAAGATGCCGGCGCCGGGGAGAGAAGAAGGCGATCACACCGCTGGACCGAGGAACAGGTTCTGCTGCAGAGAAGAGCCGAGTGGCTGGCCCAGTATTCTAACACAGTGGCGGTGGCGGCCGCGACGACGGGGAAATACCGAAAAATACGGTACATTATCTGCAAGTGCAAAAAAAATACCTTTTGATCCTGCCAGAAATCAAGTGTGTTGTAACATCCTGTGCACTCAAGTGAAATCCTAAACAATGCTATCATCTCTCATTAGTTCTCTCCTGTAAACATTTCCTCTGTGTTATGGGGATAAAAAAAAAGCAGCAGGCGTTTGTGGACCAAATCAGGAGGGCAAACTATGGAGACAGTGCTGATCCTCTGAACATACTGTAATGTAAATGAGTGTTGTCAGGACTACAGGTATGTTAATAGAGGGATTACCAAGCGAAAACATAAAACATTATTAAAAAGGAAAACTAGTACAGCTACTACACCTAAGGATTAGTTAGCTGCAATTTATTACATTTTTTATCTTGACATGGATACACTTAAAGTGAATTTAAAGGTACATGTTTTTAATAATAAAGCATCATACTTGCCTGCTCTGTGCAATGGTTTTCAGCCCCCCTCCCCTCCAACTTTCACTGGATTTGATTGGCAGCTGCCGTTGGCTCCCACTGCTGCCTCCATGTCCAGTGAGGAGAGTGAGAGAGAGCAGAGCTGCTGCTCTCAGACACAGTGCTGGATCGAGGTAGGGCTCAGGTAAGTTTTTAGGGGGGCTATTAGAAACCACGGGGCCCCATAAGCCCTCACCCCCCGAAAAAACAGAGTTTAGTATGCTTCAGTTATGAATGAACAGAGTGAGTGATTGGTACCGATCACTCATTGCCTGTGGAACTAATCATTCGGGAAAATCCCGACAGGCTGGTTGTACACAAGTCGATCGATAGGCCTTTGCCAGGAAATTTCAGGCTCTTGGGCTTAAAACATGTTCAGGATTTGCAGGTGAATCATATGCGGTCCTTTTATGACCATTTTGTCTTTTGTTTTTGTTCTAGTTACAACCTGACATGATACCTGTCCATTTTCTGTATGCCAGCCCTAGTTAACTCATAGTGGCATTAAAGCAGAGCTCCACCCAAAAGGTGTAGTTCTGCTTTAAAGACTGGTCCCCCGCTCCCCATTAAGGATTGGCACCTTTGGGGAGTGGGGGGAGCGGGTACCTGAAATTGACAGTGATGTGAAGAAACGCGTAGGCTGGGCCGATGATGTCAAGCCGCTATACCTGGAAATTTACGAGCCGCCATCTTGGAAATTATCTGAGTACATTGAAACCAACAGTTTTAAAGGCGTATTCACTGCAGTGTTCCAGCAGGACACTTTTTAATGTGAGTGCACTCTTTGTTTTAAATAAATCAATAGAGTATTCAAATACTACACTATGTTAAACAGTTCTTTGCATATACGTAGAACATGGTGGATAAGAAGGAGGTGAAGCAGTCCGGAGCTGAGTGAGGAGGAGAGTGGATTTTGAGAAGCCTCATACCGAAAGCGCTGTTTGACCTATGTAATATGGGTCAAGCAAGGAGGTGAGAGTACATATGTATGACATTGCTGGAGGAACACATATACCGGTAAGTTTGATTTGTGGATATAAGAAAAAAGGAGCACATGTGTGCACAAGATTTGAGTTTGAAGCACTGAATGGTTCACATATAAAGTACTGAAGTTTTTTATTGGATGTTGTTTTTTGTATAATATATTGACCCACTCCCACATAGTTGTCCTCCCTCCCCGTAGTCTTCTGATACATGTGACAAGTCCCAGAAAACTAAGGGACCATTCACAAAGCGTAGCACTACTCGCGCAAGCGCAGTGGGCACCCAGCAGAGAAGCTGCTAGCTGTCACAGCCGGGGTGCCCATGCTGAAGATGCTGGCGTTGGGAACACAGGATGGTAAGTGAAACGAGCTGCGGGGAGGACACCATGGGCTCAAGAAACAAGTGAGTGGCTATTTTTTAAAAGTCAGCAGCTACAGTTTTTGTAGCTGCAGTTTTTGTAGCTGCTTTTATTTTTTTTTTTACAGTGTAACTGGAACTCCACTTTTAGTAGCAAAATGATACAAAGTTTATTGTGAAGTTTAGGGAAAAGTGGCATAATGGTATAATGTCTTTTTTCCTGCATCTGGTATTTGATAGAGAACCAGATAACTATTTTGTGTATGGGATAACCCCTGAAAATAATAACTGCACCAACCGACAGCAGACAGCTGCTTTAAAAACTAAAGTCAAAAATGACAAATGCCTCTAGGAAATTGTTTGGACCTTTTTTCCTGGAGTCTAATGTTATCACATATCAAACAAGGGAAAAATGAGTGTAACCTCAGAGGCACACATTACCAACAAGCACATGCAAGCTCAAGACGGCATTCCTTGGGAGCACTGAACATGAAGAATTATTGCTCCCTACCTTTGAAAACAGCAATAATGCATAAACAGTGAAGGCAAATAAAAGATGAACAGAACTATAACCATCCTGTGTATGACATCGGGGACCATTCATCATGCTGTCATACTTACCCTCTGTGAGATACAAATCACTTGTTATGGTGTAATATAATGATGATCAAGCAGCAACATACTGATTGTACACTGATTAATCAGCTAATAGAATAACACTACCAACAGGGATGATCTTCTTATTATATCTGAGCATTTAATTAAAAATACAAGAGCGAGGAAAATGTGCTAACTAGGAAGCTTTCTAGCACTCTGTGGTGACGCTCACTATCTTCCAGTATGCTGTGGTAAATTGCTAGATATCTGCATTTTACTCCAGTTTACTGAGTGAACTCAATGAACCTCTTGGCTACACTGCAGTGTGAGGAGGCACACAGAAAATAATTGTTTTCTGTATGCCCTACCAGTGATCATCACTGATCTAGTGCGGAAGAACACAGCTCACCGCATTATGTGTGAAAAAGTCCTAATTGAGCTTTACACAAATTCTACCTGTAGCTTTGGGTACAGTGGAGCAACTCATCTCTAAATTTTAGAAGAGAAATAATGAACAACAATAATGAAATAATTGTTAAAGTGAATGTAATCTTAAAAATAGAAGATAAGCTATATTATAAGGAACATTTAGAAATTTTAACTGTGACTAAGCAGTGCCATGAAAATGTACCTTTTAACTTGAAGTCCTCTTATAAAGTTAAATTCATATATTGGTATGTGAGAGCGTGTGGGCACCCCTATGCCTACAGCCTCATATCTGTATATATGCAGTGTGATCTGCTACCTCTAAATGCTAGTCTCAGGAGATTTGGGGTAAGATTTGGTGATGTCACTACTGTGCTGCTCAAAGTTCTCCTTGCTGGAGGCCCTGTCATGAAGATGCAAAGCCCTGGATCTACCAAGATGGCCACCTATCTACACAGAGGCACAGTGCAGAACAAGGCATGGTAAGTCAGTAATAAGGAAAAATCAGATGCAAGGAGTCCAAAGACAATACTGATGACTAGTTAGAAAGATAGAGAAGTGACGGCAGAAAAAGACATGGTGGTCAACTGAGTCTGCCCGTTTTTTTTGGGGGGGGGGGTTTGCTTGTTTTTCTGTCAACTTTTTTTGTCTGAGTATAGATCTATGCTTCTCCCACGCATGTCTGGAGCTATTTACTGTTGACTGACTTATTCCTCTGCTGGAAGTTCATTCCAAGTATCAACTACTCTCTCAGTAAAATAGTAATTTCTGAGATTGGTTTTGAACTTTCCTCCAGTTAGTTTAAGGTCATGTCCTCGTGTTCTTGATTTTGGTTTTGTGTTGAAAGCACTGCCCTCCTGAATACTAGTCACCCCCTTGATGTATTTAAAGGTTTCAATCTTGTCTCCCCTTTCCCTTCTTTCCTCCAGACTGTACATTTTAAGTTCCTGAAGTTGCTCTTGATATGTTTTATCCTCCAGACCTTTCACCGTTTTTGTTACCCGTTTCTGGATTCATTCTATCTTATCAATATCTTTTTGTAAGTGAGATTTCCAGAACTGGACACAGTTTTCTACATGAGGTCTAACTAAAGATCTATATAGGGGAATCGGGACCTCCTTCCTCCTGCTGGAGACCCCTCTAGTGATGCATCCTAGAATTCTATTTGCTCTCCCCACTGCCTGGTCACACTGTTTGCTCATTTTGCAATCATCTGAAATAAGTAACCCCAAGTCCTTTTCCTCTGTAGTGCTGGCCAACAATGTACCCCCAATGTTGTACTCTCTCAATGGATTCTTTTCCCTAGGTGCATTATTTTACATTTAGAAACATTGCAATTTCCACTTTTTTGGCCAATCTTCCAACAATGACAAATCATGATCCATGTTACAGACACATCCAGGGATATCAACCCCATTGCACACCTTTGTGTCTTCAGCAAAAAGACATACCTTACCCAACAAAAGTTTAGTTATATCACTTACATATAGATTAAATAGAGCAGGACCTAGTACAGAGCCTTGTGGTACACCACTAATGACTGGTCTCTTTTCCGAGTGAACGCCACTTACAACCACGCTCTGGAATCTATCCTTTAGCCAGCCGAATATCCCCTGAACCATCCAAGGGTTGAGTCCTAGCTTGTACAACTTTTGTTTTAGATCATTATGTGGAACTGTATCAAATGCCTTGCTGAAATCAAGATATGCTATGCCCACAGCACCATTCTGGTCCAAAACATTGGTAATATAGTAAAAAAAATCAGATTAGTTTGACGTGATCAGTAAAGCATGCTGCAAGTTGTTGTGTGTTTTTAAGTGATCAATTATCCTTCTTTTCAAGAGTGATTCCATTACCCTGACTACAACCAATGTTAGACTCACTGGAGTGTAATTGCCAGCTTCTACCTTGCTGCCCTTCTTGTGGATAGGTAGAATATTAGCTGTCGGCCAGTCATAAGG